GCGCACGGGGCTCCGGGGAGGCGGCGCCCTGACGGCCGCTGCACTGTGACCGCGGGCGGCGGGGAGAAGCCGGGCTCCAGGCTCAGGGATGCACCGGGCGCAGGTCTCCGCCGGCGGTCGGTGGGACGGTGTGGCCGCCGGAGGGGTGTCCCTGCCGGGTGGGGAAGGGACCCCGCTTCCCTTCCTTACCAGCTCCTGTGAGTGAGGACGTCCGGCCTTGGCTTGCGCCCTGGGTCTCGGAGAGGAGCCGCTGGCCGTGATGAGAGCCAGTGACATGTGGGGCGGACCACCTGCTTGGCGAGCTCGGGGTCCCCCAGCCAACGGGGCGCGTGCGCTCCCCTGTCCCTCCAGGAGCAAAATGCCCCCCTTCTGCAGGTCTCCTGGGCCAGGCACTCACAGCGGAAAGGAAATGTGGCACGGATGTCTGGGGACAGGGGAGCCGGCCCCTAGCGAGGGGGAGCGCGGCGAGGGTCCGAGGGGCCTGCAGGAGCTGGTGGAGGCTGCAGGGCCAAGCCTGCCCTGGGGTGTCTGCCCGGTCCTTCCCTCTCTGGGCCGCGGGCCTAGCTCTCTGGAGGGGGACCAGGCAGCTAAAAGGGAGCTAACCTTCAGTTACGTCGTGGTTAGAAAACAGATGTGCAGCCATCCCAGCAGATCCCACAGTGGGAGCGATTGCAGCTGCCATGCTGTTCGCAGCTCAGGTCTCTCTGTCACTGACTGAGGGATGGAGCCAGCAGGTGCCAGGTTCCCGTGGGACATGCATCCACCCCGCATCTGGAGAGGGAGGGGGTCTGGGGCCGGGAGACTCTGGTCCATCCGTGACGCTGTGCCCCTGGGGCAGGACTCAGTTCTGACCCTCCGGTTGTTTTCCTTTTTTTTAAAAAAAATACATTTTATTGATTTTTCACAGAGAGGAAGGGAGAGGGATAGAGAGTCAGAAACATCGATGAGAGAGAAACATCGATCAGCTGCCTCCTGCACACCCTCTACTGGGGATGTGCCCACAACCAAGGTACATGTCCTTGACCGGAATCAAACCTGGGACCCTTCAGTCCGCAGGCCGACGCTCTATCCACTGAGCCAGACCGGCTAGGACTGTTTTCCTTTTTAAAGTTGGGGTAACACCTGCCCTCTTCCCAGCAGTCTCCGAGGGCCACTCCCTCACGTGGCAGCAGGTCCTGAGCACCCACTACGCCCGGAATTGTCCTGTGTAAGGTCTTCATAAACATAACGGGATGTGCAAGTGAAACATCATTTTCCCTGGTGGCTTTCTTTCAGCAACACATGGCCATCATTTCTCCCAGACGCCCTCCTAGACGTCAGGGAAAAGGGGCTCCCAAGGGTGTCCCTGGAAACCTGAGAAATGTGTCTATGAAATATATGAAATTTGTTCTTGTAAATGTTCTGTAGACACAAGTAAACTCTAACTCACCTACAAGATAGATGGAAATACTATGGTTATTAGTTACATAAAACTTTCCCCCTTTGCTCTGGAATTGCCGACAAAACAATTAAAAATGTGACTTTTGGGGCAGTGAAGTGTGGTCACTTTGAGGCGCCTGGGCTTTCCCAATGAGGAAACATGGCTAAAGTGTCCAGTGGCCGGAGCGGGTTCCGCGGGGGAAACACACCACTCGGTTTCATGACAGGTTGTCAACGACGGACCGAGTGTGGTTTCGTCCTCAAGTAACTTGAGGGTGTAACCACTTTCACATGCACGTCAGAGACGAATGAAAAGGAGACTTTTAAAGCTTTGCCCAGCCACAGCGGACCATCGCAGCCATAGAGAGAAATAACACTGTGCACGGGCTCAGAGGTATTTTGACCTGAAAGAATTAGTGCCCACGAACAGGCAAGCAGGCAACTCTTCATTAAGCTAAGACGGAGCTAGACTGGAAGTTTGCTGACATAAAAAGTCACTTTTCTTCGGTGACTTACCTACTGGACAGCGTTGTCTTTGTTTGGAATCTAAGGAAAGAATAAGATATACCACAGTTATTACTTTTAAACTCTGTTTTTCCTCGTTTTATAGCATGTCTCAGTGGAATCAAGTCCAACAGTTAGAAATCAAGTTTTTGGAACAAGTAGACCAGTTCTATGATGACAACTTTCCGATGGAAATCCGACACCTGCTGGCCCAGTGGATTGAGAACCAGGACTGGTAGGTCAGACGGTGTGTTTCTCCTCCAGGGCGATGCGCACCTGCTCTATGCTCTATCCAGACGGGTTTATTCTGGGGTTCACTTTCCGATCGATAGGTGCATTCTTTTCAGATTAAAAAGTTTTGGAAAACTTTTTCAAAGAAGAATACTAGTTCTTTCTGTTTCATCCATTGCTCGTGCTTCGTTTTTCTGTAAGCCAAAACCACAACAAGTTTCTAGAAGTTAAAAAGCCATAAAGTAAATCAATAGTTAATATCAATTCTCTATCACAGACTCAATGTAAACAAATACATTTTCTTAGTATATTTTACAAACATTCTTTAAAGTTCTATTTACATTGTGCAACTTAAACTTTTTTTTTTTGGCTTTAAACAGTTGTCTGATTTTTTTATTGTGGTAAAATGTATAAAACACAACATTTACCACTTTAACCATTTCTAGGCATGCAGTTTAGTAGCATTGAGTATATCCACTTTGTCATGAAGCCACCACCACTATCCAGCTGCAGAACTTTCTTATCTGCACAAACTGGAACTTTCTGCCCTTAAGCACTAGCTCCTCATTCTCTCTACCCAGCTCCCTGCAACCACCATTCCCCTTTCTGTCTCTATGAACTTGACTGTTCCAGGCCCCTCATGGAAGTATCAGCACACACATTTGTCCTTTTGTGACTGACTGATTGCCCTTAGCATGATACATTCATGTAGCATGTATCAAAACTTCCCTCCTTTCTAAGGCTGAATAATATTAATAAAATGTGTGTGTGTATAAAAGTGTATATGCTAATTAAACCAGACATATTCCAGACAAGCCACGGTGGCGGGGGCTGAGGGAGAGGCAGTTAGGGGCAATCAGGCTGGCAGGGAAGCAGTTAGGGGGCAATCAGGCTGGCAGGGGAGCAGTTATGGGGGATCAGGCTGGCAGGGGAGAGCAGTTAGGGGCAACCAGGCAGGTAGGCAGGTGAGTGGTTGGGGTGACCAGGCTGGCAGGGGAGGGCAGATAGGGGCAATTGGGCCTGCAGGGGAGGGCAGTTAGGGGCTACTGGGCCAGGAGGGGAGCAGTTAGGCATCAATCAGGCCAGAAGGGGAGCGGTTAGGAGCCGATCAGGCTGGCAGGCAGAAGCGGTTACAGGCAATCAGGCAGGCAGGCAGGCGAGCAGTTATCGGGCCTAAACCTGCAGTCGGACATCCCCCAAGGGGTCCCAGATTGGAGAGGGTGCAGACCGGGCTGAGGGACACCCCCCACACGCCCCATGCACAAATTTCATGCAA